GGTGAGGAAAGTGACTTATTCTGTTAATACATATACAGTAACCAGCCAAACATTGTTGCTTCAAATCCATTTATATATATAGTAATACAAATTGAGATGCAACAACGGTGATTTTGTACTGATTTGTCCCTTGAGAGAATGTATGACTGTTTCTTATACAGCCAATGGACCAAAGGCGATACGGGGTACTTTCCACAAGAATGGAAAACAAACAACTCGAATGCAAGCATTCTTACAAGCTCGCATTGATATGGAAGATGAATTAGGAGCTCGAAGTGAAGAGGCGCCACTTAAAAGATCAAAACAGTCAAGTGAAGGTGATGAGTCTGATTCAAAGTTTTAAACTTATATTGTATGTCGCTTACAACTTATATTAGATGTCTTTTTCTTATTGTTTTACATTACAACCACTCTTGCCCATGAGCCTAGATCAAAAATATCTAAACAGCCTTCACCAAGTGCTCCTACTCTTAATCAATCAACAAATACAAGTTCCAATGCTTCTAATCCTTCTGAGGAAGCACTTGAAGAAGATATCGAGCATGAAATGGGTACAAGTAAGATATTCTTATTGAGTGGAAGAAACTATACTTTACCGTATGCATTTTTCTTAACTTCTTTTCATTTTCTTCAAGGTGAAGGCGAACAGACTACTACACAAAAGAAGCATAAGGGTAGAGGGCCCTCACGTGGTGTTGAGCTGAACAAGATAATTGAAAGGACTGGAAAGAAGTTTGAAGTCACAATCGATCCATTGTATGGTCGGCCATTACAGAGAAAGGCATCTAGTGCTCTGGGCAGTACACTTGGACAAATTGCTCATTTGTTTGTCTGGCCAATTCACAAGGACAAGAATGTCGTGCTAGAAGAAGTCATATTGATGTTGGAGGTATTTGATATAGTTACATATTTGGAACAATGCCTAATTCCTTACTACCTAGTTTGATATATTTGTTTATATGATGCAAGGTCAAGCTGGATTTGGGTGACATAAGAGAGAATCCAGTGGAGCTGAACAAGCTTTCAGATATGTTTCAAACCCAAGTCAGGAGAAGAAGGAGCAGGGTAAAAGAAGAGTTCTATACAGATGTTGAAAGGCCTAGGCAGAATAAGCCTACTTTTTTAAATTAAAAAACATGGGATGATCTTTGTGATTATTGGGACCGTGAAAAGGTTAAGGTATGTAAAGCAATTCAGTACAATATTTCAGATGATATGAACATATCTGTTTGGTTATATATGGGTGGATCTCTTTGAGATTCTAGCTAATTCATGAACTTTCAAGCAAGTGTCACTTAATGTAGGTTCTAAAATCTGTGATTTTTTGAACTTTGCATATATAATGGTTAGTTGAATTGTTTTCGTTAACTTCCTTCTAAAGTTGACAACACATGTCTTGGATTATATTGGGACCACCTAATTAGAAACTAATCATGCATGCTCAGAACTGTGTCCTTCATAGGATATGAACATATCTATTTTTTAATTGATAGAGAAGGGTGGGTTTTTTGGAACCCCATGTGACTTGTCATTTCCATACGTGTGTGTAGAAGTACTCTTTTGTTTTTCTGTTTTTGTTAGTTTATATTGCACATTCTGGTCGGGAACTTGGTTAGGATACACAGGGTGTGTATGCGGTGTAGTAAATCTGGCATCTAGCTATAAAAGTTTAAGATTGTACATCTGATTACAAACTAGTCATTTTTTATGCACAGGAAATTGCTGAGAAGAATGCTGTCAACCGAAGCCTAGTGAAGAGTCTAAACACTCAAGGAAATGTGGCCTATGTTTGCTTATTCGAAGAGCAGGTTTGGGAACTTACTGTTACAACGTTAGTAGTTGTGTTATGACAACTACTAATATATGGTTTTGTTTTCTTGGATCATCTCTATTTCAACTAGAAATCAAAAGCAGACAATGGTGAATTGTCCAAAATGGCATTCTACAAGTGGCAGTGGATTGGCAAAAATGGAGAATGGAAAAGCCAACATAGGAAAGAACTATATGTACGTTTTCCCATTTAATTTCCTTCTTAAAATTTACATTTCCTCATGTTTACATCAATAACAGCCAGAATTTGGATTGTTGGTTCTTAACTAACCATTTATATTGTTTTGGGTAGGAATAGATGTTGGAGCTTGTCGAAAGTACTCGTGATAGTGACAGTCCTATATCCGAAGACGATGCTTTCCATAAGATCTTGGGCTACAAATCAGGGTACTGCAATGGACTTGGATATGGTCAATCACTCCCGAAGAAAAGAACTTGCCAGGAGCAAAATTTTGCTGAAGTGTTGAGGGAAAAAAACATATTGCAAGAGCGGTGTGCAAATCTGGAGGAGAAAGTGATTGAGATGAATGAAAGGCAAGTTTTGGCTGATCAGAAACAAGCACTGACTGATGAGAAATTAGAAGCGACTCAACAACAACTAGCAAGGCTTGATAAGTTGGTTGAGTACCTTAAGGAGGGCAACATCCTACCCGGCATTAACATCTGGTAAGAATATGTTTTGCACTTTGGTTTGCTGAATCTTGGTGATTGAGATTGTTATGATATTATGAGTTGTGTGCTTTTAGTTTCCTGAAAGGCACCTGTATGTTTGATCAATATGACCATACATGCTGTAGGGATTTGTTCCATGATTGTAGTTGCATTCGAATGAACATATATTGATTTGCAGCAGCATGTTGGATGGCAGTGTATTGTTTGATCAATCCGACCAAACATGTTGTTGAGATTTGTTGAATGATTGTAGTTACATTTGATTAATCATTTGGATATGATTAATTTGCAGCAGCATGTTGATTTAATCATTGTTCCATGGTAATTAGTACGTGGATGTTTTAAGGGGATTTAGATGTATGATTAGAAACAATTTGCACCAGTTAGGCTCACCAAAAGTAACTTAGACTTTTGTTTGGTTCTCAATGCAGATTACTAAATGGATTGGGGAGTATTTTGGGGAATTGCTGGGTTGATTTAGAACTTAGGTAAGTGACCTCCATCTTAGATGTGCATATTTGAATTGTATAAATAAATAAATTATCATAGTAATTTGTAACACTTGTTTTTGGTTGATTCTTTTTGCAGATAATCAACATGCTGGATATTTTGACATGTATAGACCAGCAAGCTCATAGTGATTATTTTGTGCATGGGCAAAAACTAATTGAGCTTTTGTATATTCTATTGTATAGGTTATGGATGATGAACAAGTTATTAGTGATGTTCTATTTAGTATAGTATTGTGTACAAGGTTACATATTTGGAACAAGATTAATATATTAATGGGTAGTATTATGAAGTTGTTTGATCATGTGAACATCCCAGAATCAACTAATGTAAAACAGGAACAACATCATTTATTAGCCAAAAGTTACAGCCAAAACATACTATTGCGATGGAAACATTCGTCGCTAAAACCACTCAACCCGTTGCAAAAGGCGTAATGACAGGCTCCTCATATGGTGTAGGACATGATCAGCGACGGATACTTTCGTCGCATAAAAGAATCATTAGCGACGATAATTAAATCGTCGCAGTAGGAGAGAGATAATGCGACGATAGCCACCGTCGCCAAAACTTCCAACGGCGACGAAAAAACTCGTCGCAGTACATGTAATATATGGCGACGCATATATTCGTCGCGGAAACTATTTTTTGCGACGAATTATTCCGTCGCTAATTATTAACCTTTTTGCGACGGAAAATATGTTAGGCGACGAATGGTCAAAATCCGTCGCTAAAAAGTAAGGCGACGCGGTATGCACGACGATCTTGGCTAAGTTTTGGCGACGATTGATTTCGTCGCCTTATCTTTAGGCGACGGATTTTGTTACTTTTCGCGACGAATTTTGCCGTCGCCAAATCCCCTGTTTTTTGTAGTGCCATAATTCGTAAGCCCAAAACAAGCCCATTGATCTGTAGAATGAAGCTCTGCACTAAATAAAAATAAAACCTATCCCCAGTCCCAAGTGAAGCCCTTCTAACCCTAATCTCTTTCTCAGCTCTGGCTCGTGCAGCCGCACCTCTCCGAGAAGCCGACGGACGACGGAGACAGTCGAAGCCAACAGACGACGATGAAGCCTGAAGCTGACAAGGCCCGACACTCACTCTCTCTCCCTCGATTTCCCTTCCACTTCCAATTCCAAAGATTGCATGCCTCTTCTCTCCCTCGATCTCTCTTCTACTTCCAATTCCAGCGGAGGCTTGGTGAAGAGAAGAGGAAATCGAGTGGTCAAGCGACGACTTATCAGTAATTGCTTTCAACTCCTTCCTCTTCGCTTATCGCCTCCTTCAATCCCCATCTCGATCTCGCTCCAGGGACTTCCGTCGATTGGCGACCTATTGCTCGCCTCTTGCCATTGTGTCTTCTCGTCGCTGCCTCTTGCTTGCCGCTCGTCATCACCTGTAAACGTGAAGGAGAAGAGATTGCTGGACGCCTTGCTTGATCGGCTTCACAGGAGAAAGGATCGCTCACCATCTTCGTTGGTAAAAGAAGAGGGCTAGAGGGGAGGGAGACGAGAGAACACTGAAAGGATATGAACGATTGGGAAGCAAAATTGTGCGGCTAGGGGAAGCCGGGAAGGGGAAGCATCCGACACTCGACTATTTTTTTTTAATTTTAATTCGTAAATGATCGCATTTTGGTGGGAATCTGCACAACACGGATTGTTTGGTTAAAACCGGACAGGATTAATCCGGTCACGGTTGAAACTGGATCCCCATCCAATCCAATTCCCGGTTGCTGATATGGCCAAAACGGTTTTAAAAAACCGGGTCAATCCGGTCCGGTTTTAACCGGACCAAACCATTTTCCACCTCTATTGAACACCCTTGTTACGTGTCGCAGGGATAGCTTTGGCAAGGGTTGATACAAGGGTCGACAAAATCCTTGCTAAATCTTATAGCAGGGGTAAAAACCCTTGGTGTTAGTGAAAATAACCCTTGCCATAGATATTTTTGTAGTGTCCTAAAATTATGATTTATTTTCAAGATCAGTAAAAAATTGTATCAAGCAAGAGCCACAATCCATGGGCTTTCTTATTAAGTGCATCGATGACGATGAGTTCTGCTACAAAGGCAAGAACTAGCAAAAATATACTAATGAAACGAAATTCCCATCAACCGGCTTCTCAGCTGGAGGAATCTATCTGGCTTAATACTCCGGTTTCAGCCTGCCAACAAGCTACCAACAACAAACGTCCTTATTGTTGGGCATTCATTGATCTTGTCCGCTCCGCAGACACATCTTAGTTATCTTGGGTAACTACTCGATTCAGGATGTTCATCCACAAAAGAATTCTGCTCTGAAATAATTTATAAAAGGCAGCAAGCGGTCCTGATCGACGAACTATGGCCGGTCTTTGTCTCCATCCTCATCAAGTATCAAAGCTTCAAATCTGTTGCTGCAGAATTTGCTGCCGACTTTGCTATTATTATGCCGCTGTTGTTGGACCTTCTTGTTCGTCTTCTTTACTGTTTCTTTGCTGATATTTTGAGTACTACTTTGAGTCTTGCTTCTGCTGGTAATTTTAGTACTAGTTTGAAGCAGCAGCAGCAGGCGCTTCCAATTCTCGGCATTCCTCGCTTGATGTTTAGTAAGCTGACCAATATTCCTGCATTGATTCACTAGCTAGGTTAGTAATTAAGATTCACTAATTTCTAGTTTAGTAATTAAGAATAACTAAGAATTAATACATAGAGCAAGGAAGCAGATAGAGTAGTTAGTTACCAGGGCATAGGGAAGAACCAAAAGTAGTTCTGGTTGTGAAAATTCCGACAAGCAAAACATTCGAGTTTCCCATCGACGAGATTGAAGACGCCACAATCGTTCCGGTACAAATTGATCCGACCAATGTCATCGGCGTAATCTAGATCAAAATAGCCGTAATAGAAAGAAAACGCAAAATAGATGCGGTCACCCCAGCTGGACGAAGGAGCAGGCAGGCAGATGGACTCATGGGAGTAACCGAGGAACAAAGCATGTCCCTCCAAACTCCTCACTTCTTCCCATTCATAATCAATAGTTGTGCTGTCCACAACTTCACCGCCGGCATCTCTTTCAGGTAATACTAATCTGAATACATGGAACGTGGCGTCGTTATCATCATCCTCGACGAAACAGCGCAGGATGACGAGGAGACGACCGCAGAGGTGGGACAAGTGGAAAAAGGTGTGATAGTAGTCGTGGTTGTCCTCGACGAGTGACGCCATCACGGAAGAGAATGGGAGTTTCCTCCAACAAGTAGGAGAAGTGGTGGTAGCCGTAGGTGCATCAAGAACGTAGACAGAATCCTTGCCCTCGAGAACGTAAAGTTTACCTCCAAAGTAGGTGGCGTCGACGGTGAAGAAATATTTTGTCGGCATTTTCGTGAAATTCCAACCTCCCCGACCTACCTTGCACCAGGCCAGCCCAGGATCAATGGCGTAGCCTAATATGATGAAGACGTAGCAGTTGTTGCGGCGGTCGTCAGGAGAGGAAGAGATTACGGCTCTGTCGATGAAGTCAGACGGCCGACGGTTGAAAGAGGCCTCCATGAAGTCGGGAACGTTCGGCAGGAGAGTGGGGAGAGGGATGGAAGCGCGTGTGATTGGGTTGAGGAGGTGTAATCTGACCGGGCGTGGGTGAATTACTAGGACCCACCCGTCTTTGGAGCCCACGCACGGATTGTTCATCCGTATTTCTCTATAATCGTCGGTGCGGAGGTTAGGACCCAGAGGGATCTTGACGCGCAGCAGCTGCTGGCTTCGTGGAGGTGGAGGAGATGTTGTGATGGGAGAAAACTCATGGTCGTCGGATTCCCCATTGGCGATGAGGAGTCCCGGTAGAGAGCCACCGTGCTCGTAATTTTGGGGTTGGAGAGCGATGGATCTCCAGGATTTGCAAACTGCGGAGAAGGAAACCAGCTGTGAAGTGGTCTCGAAATGCTCCCTCGCTATCTTCACTACTATGTCCTCCGGCAGTTGGGAGTAATCCGCCTCCATCGAAGGAGACTCCGGAGAAGGCGGCCAAATGAGGAAAGCTGGAAAGGTGTGCAAGTGATCGGCCACTACCTTTTCTAGTATGTCCACCGGCAATTCGGATTAATCATTGCATCGGAGAGTGGTAACCGCAGCCACCTAGGGTTACATATAAGACGACATAGGTTTTATATGCAGCCAGCCACTAGGGTTTACTGGATATGGAGAAAAAATGAACAAAGTTCAATTAATCAATCGATGGCCCTCATGGGTGAATTTTGTTTTCCATCAATCGATCAAAGACCATTTCCCATGAATCAAACGAAGGAACAAACAAGATCCATGGAGCTCGACAGGGGATCAAGAACGTACGTACGTAATTGGCAAGCATATATTCACGGAGAGAAGTAGAAACGCTTACCCGTCGCTACGGACGTACGTGAAGGGACATGATGATCAGTCTGGCGTCTGGATCTGGAACGAAGGAAGGACGACGTAAACCTTCTGCTTTTCCTGGACGGATGCTTCTTTCGTTTTAAGAATAAGTTATAGCTTGATGATTGGCACGACTGTGATTACACGCGTGGGATTGGGCGAAACTTAGCAGCAAACTGAGTTACTGCCAGCTCACGTGTCACATTATGATTGGTGCGAAATTAATTGTTTATTATTTTTAATTGTTAATTAAAGTAGGAAGATCATGATATAATAGTATAACACTGATTTAATTCTTATCGTAGTCGTAGTAAAATCATGATAAAATCATTGGTAGTGTTTTTAATGAATTGATATTGTTTATTTGTTGCAGCGGTATTAGTTCGGCTGAATGAAAACAAGGAAAAAATTGAGAAAAGAAAAAGAAAGAGAGATCTGATTAGAGATTGCGAAAATGAGAGAAAAAGAGAGAAAATTGTAATTAATATATATTTGTAACTCCTAAAAAATAATTTATTTAAAAAAATAATTAATAATTTTTTTGTCATATCCAATTTACACATTAATCACCGTAACCTATCCCCTCATTTGCATCCTATAGAGATGATCCGCCATTGTTTTCGGCAAAAAGAGATTTTGATCGAACGAGGGATCAGTTTGTTTCTCTTTTAAATCTTTTGTGCTTGATAATACGGCTCTTAAAACGACCGCGTCCAAAGTAGAAAAGCCTTCCTATTTCCAAACAAGCAGAAGTGGGACGAAGCAAAAGGGAAGCATCTAGCATGTGGGAAAATCAAAAGGTATTCGTCGGCCTCCTTCGTCCCAAATCCTAGACGCCGGCCGGAGGCCAGACTGATCATATTCCCTCCCCGGTTGCAGCGGGTAAGCCTTTCTACGTAATTCTCTCGTCTCTCTCCATATGCATGCATGCTTGTTAGTTACACTCTTGGTCCCCTGCTGCCAAGCCCCATGAATCATTCTGTCTTCCTGCCGTCCGCGATGGAGTCTCTGTTGTTTGCGCACTCTGATTTATGGGCAAGAGGTCTTCGATTTATATGGAAAAAAAATCCTCCCCATGACCCATTGATTCATTGAATTTTGTTCATTTCCGCCCCAAGATTCAGTAAACCCTAGCGGCCACATGTAAAACTTATATGAAACCCTAGGTGGCTGTTAGCACTCCCAGGCTCGATGGATTACTCCCAGCTGCCGGAAGACATAGTCGTGAAGATAGCGAGGGACCATTCGACACGACTTCGCAGCTGGTCACCTTCTCCGCAGTTTGCAAATCCTGCAGATCCATTGCTCTCCGATCCCGAAATTACAAGCAGGGCGGGCTCTCTCCTTGGCCTCCTCATTGCCGAACGGGACTCCGACGACCATGAGTTTTCTCCCGTCACAATGTTCCACACGTTTGTCACTAGTCTGATTAACGACATATTAGATGATCAGATATATTCCAATTCCGCGAGTCCACCACCTCCACGAAGAAGCCATCAGTTGCCCCGCTTAACGATCCCTCTAGGTCCCAGCCTCCCCACTGACGACGAGAGAGAAGTTCGGAGGAACAATCCGTGTCTGGCCTCCAAAGACGGGTGAGTCCTAGTAATTTATCCTCTCCCGGTCCGATTACACCTCCTCAACCCAATCACACGCGCCTCCATCACTCTCCCCACTCTCCAGCCGACTCTTCCCCCCCTACCGGAAGACATCTTTCAACAGCCGGCCAACCGTCTGACTTCATCGCCAGAGCCGTAATCTCTTCCTCTCAAGACCACCACCGCGACAGCTGCTACGTTTTCATCATACTAAGCTGCCGCACCAACCCTCCTCCATAGGCGGAGCCAGCCTATATTGCCCTTGTCCCAGGACAGGGGTAATATTTGACTGGTAAAAAATACCCTATATATATGTACGCAACATCTACAAGTAATATAATTAAGGATATTTTATTACTACATCGCAGTTCATTACTTGTTTAATAATTGATAAAAATAGTTAATTTATTTCTTCCATTCATAATAATTATTTGATAATAGCTTGTTGGGTATTATCATGATGTTATGAGATTTCATTAATTGAAAGAAATTGATGAATTATCTCAAATAATGATGGAGACAAAAGTACGTAAGTCATATCCGCAGGGGCGGAGCTAGGATCTAGTGGTCGGGGGGGCCGGATTTTATTGTATAATATTCGTAAAAAAAATTAAGAAAATATTTACATTGTGAGTCATAAGCTTCAAAATTTAATTATCTAGACTCCAAAATTTAATTCTAAATTAGAAAATTATTATAAGCTCCAAAATTTCATTATCTAGTTTGAACTTTGAAATTAAAATGTATTTGAATAAGTACAAAAGTTAAGTGATCAATCTAAATTTTAAACAAAAATTCAACCAAAGTAGGAAAACTAAAAAAATAATGTTGCTACCAGGGATTGAACCATGGTACTGGTATTCACAAATACCAAGTAGCTGGATTCCGTTAGACTAGACCCAAACGTTGTTACTCATTATTGCACGTTATTGTTATTCTACAATAGGTAACTTCTTCAGAATTTTCAAAATTCCCGATATTTTTACACGCGATCTCCAAAATTCAAGGTAGCTCCGCCCCTGCATATCCGTCAGTTTATTTGTTTCTGAAACTAGTTTTGATTCTACCTGTTGCAACTGTAAGTGTAGAAATAACATTTTTAGCTTGAACTATACTAATATCAAGTTTCGAAGTCGAATTTGTTATCAGTTTGCTAATGAAAATTCGTCATAGTTGTTTATGCAAACATCAATTGTATTAGTAGATTAATTCTTCATTTATATTAATTATTAATTATATTTTTATATTTTAAAAAGAGGATAGGGGTAGTTTCAAATCCTGCCTCCGCCACTGCCCTCCTCGGCTCGCCTCGTGCAAGGTGGTCCCCCAAAACCCACATACCTTTCCAGTAATGGCTACGCAATAGATCATACCACCTTTTCTCAAACTCTGACAAACCTCAACTCAACGTAGACAAGTATTGCAAGACTTGAGACACTCTTTTTTTGTCATTCAGTTTCTGAACTACCTTCTTTGTTTTGAGAACTTTCCCTTGTTGCCTTGGGAGGTTCGGATCAAGAGATTGGCTCCATGGAAATGCGTTTTTAATAGCTTGTTTTGAAGCTGGGGAAGTCTTTTTCAACGTCAAGTGCTTGGTGGATCAAGGGAAAGTCCAGAAGACTGATTTTGAAGCTCACCAAGATGATAGCTCAAAACCGGAAAACTGTATGTTTTTGGCCAAGACAGAAGGCGTGTTCAAGGCGCAATATCTTTGGAGGACTATATCTCGAGTTTGAAGCACAATCAGGACCTGATTCGAGTTGGAATGGAAAGAGGGAAACTTTCTAAACCTAGAACTTGAATTGGGTGAGATCGACGAGGTCGGGAAGACCATTGTCGAGTTTCTCAAAGTTGCCACCTCAATTAGGTTACTTTTACTTCTAGTTTTAGTTTGTTTGTAGTTGTTTAAGCCTATAAAAGTCCTCATTCATGTATTGTAACATTCAGAGTTGAATAACATAGAAAACCCTAAAATTCTTGACTTGTGAGTTGATCTTCAATTTTGGTTGCGATCAAAATCTGCTGAAACTATCCTATTAATCGAGCAAACCCACTCGATTACATCGAAGGCATCCTTATAGCGTTTGTGCATCCTCCCAGGTGTCAGGATTCCCTTTCGTTCCCATCGATCGATTGTCTCAAACAAGCTTACCCAAGCACGTTTGCAAGTTATGTTTTTGTAATCTTAGCCGAGGAAGCTTAATCCGAGGTTTCAAAGGCCTTAGGCTGTGCAATTCTTATTCAAACCCTTCCTTGGAGTTTATCAAGAGACAGTTATCGACGATGGAGCCTTGGGAGCCCTCGTCGATGATGACACCCATGCTCAGAAAGCACGAGGGAAAGAGCTCTAAGAGAGATTAATCTCACGAATACAATCTATATATAATGTGTGGAAAAAAATATTAATGAATTTTAAACAATACAAGTAATGTAACAATCTCACGTTAATAACGGTAACTTCCAAACGAGCCTTAAATGTATTTGATATCACATATCTTCTTATTTGTTTGATACTTCATATACTAAATACTTATAACACGTTTAAGGCACATGCTTTAAGGAATTGAATGGGTAATTTTTAATTGTTAAGTTATAAATTTTTTTATTGTTTTATTTTATGACTGGCGTTTAACCTTATTTTATATAAAAAAACGTTTAACCTTATGAAAATATATAGCTATTTACCTACTAATACCCGTATATGGTATATCAACCTAACTATGCTAATTAAGTAATTATTATTATATTCCTACGTAATTAATCCGTTCCGGCTTCCTCTCTTTCCTCCTTTTCTTGCGCTTCAGAGTTTGCCTCTTTGCCCTAGCTTGTATTAACTAGCTAAAGTGGAACCCTAGATAATTAGCGTATACAGGTCATCTCGAGCTTCATACGCGTAAACTCCCTTGTAATTTTATCATCAGCGCCGCCGTCCGGTACCTCCGATGGAAGCGGATTATTCGCAGCTGCCGGAGGACATAGTAGTGAAGATAGCGAGGGAGCATATTGAGACCAATTCGCAGCTGTTCTCCTTCTCCGCAGTTTGCAAATCCTGGCGTTCCATTGCTCTCCGACCGTGCAATTACAAGCACGGCGGCTCTCTACGGAGCCTCCCAGGCCTCCTCATCGCCGATGGAGAATCCGACGAGCATGAGTTCTCTCCTGTCACCATGTTCCACACGTTTGTCACTACTCCGATTAACGACATATCTGCTGATCAAATATTTTCCCGTTCCCCTACTCCTCCACCTCCAAGCAGGCGGCTGCTGCCACGCGTCACGATCCCTCTGGGTCCCAACCTCCCCACCAACAATCCTAAAGAACATCGGATGAACAATCCGTGCGTGGCCTCAAAAGACGGGTGGGTCCTCGTAATCCACCCGCGCCCGGTCCGATTACACCTCCTCAACCCAATCACACGCGCCTCCATCCCTCTCCCCACTCTCCGACCGACCCTTTACGACTTCCATGAGACCTATTTCAACTGTCAGCCGTCCGACTTCATCGCGAGAGCCGTAATCTCTTCTTCCCCCGACGACCACCGCAAAAGCTGCTTCGTTTTCGTCCTATTCCGCCACTGTATTAACCCTCGTCTGGCCTGGTGCAAGGTGGACCCCAGAGGACTCCAGGCTTGGAACTTTACCAGCACCATCACTCGAGATGTCGCAATCTGCGATGCCGCCTTCTTCGGAAACAAACTTCACGTGCTCAGCGACGATTCCGTCTACATCCTCGACGGGCCTAGTGCCGCTGTAAGAAAACTCCCTTTCTCTCCCGCTATGTCATCACTAGTCTGCTGCGACGACGAAGGCGACGCCTACAGCGACACCTTCCTCCACTTGGCCCACCTTAATGGTCACCTCCTGGTCATCTTGCGCAATTTCGCCGAAGATGAGCATCATTATAACCACGTCACGTTCCACGTGTTCAGATTGGCATTACCGGAAAGAGATAGCGGCGGTGAAGTTGTGGAATTATACAGCACAACTAGTGGTTATGATTGGGAGGAAGCGAGGAGTTTGGAGGGACATGCTTTGTTCCTCGGTTACTCCCATGAGTCCATCTGCGTGCCCGCCCCTTCATCCAGCTGGGGTGACCGCATCTATTTTGCCTTCTCTTTCTATTACGGCTATTTTGATCTAGGTTTCGCCGACGACCTTGGTCCGGTCAATTGGTACCGGAATGATTGTGGAGTCTTCAATCTTGTCGATGGGAAAGTCGAATGTTTTGCTCGTCGGGATCGTCACAACCAGAACTACTTTTGGTTCTTCCCTATGCCCTGGTAACTAACTACTCCTCCTTGCATATACTTCCTTGCTCTGTGTATTCTTAGTTTATCCTTTGTTACTAACCTAGCTAGTGAATCAATGCAGGAATATCTGTGAGCATACTAAAAATCAAGCGACGAATGCCGAGAATTGGAAGCGGTTGCTGCTTCAAACTAGTGCTAACAATACCAGCAGAGGAAAGACTCAGAGTAGTACTAGAACTATCAGCACAAGTAACAGCAATAATATTAACAGCGCCAGTAGTACCAATAATCGTACTAGTAATGCACCGGCCATGATCAGGGCAAAAGAACCAGTAAAGAAGACGAACAAGAAGGTCCAACAACAAAGGCATAATAATAATAGCAAAGTCGGCAGCAACAGATTTGAAGCTTTGTTACTGGATGAGGATGCCGACGACTGAGAGGGCTTGCATGTTGGAATCGAGCAGCGAGGAAGGGAATGGGTTGCGAAGCGAGGAGGGAGGAGGCTTCCTGAGAGTATTGGAGAAGCAGAGGCTGTGGAGAGTGGGTGGCGGAAGCATTGGTTTTGAACTACGACCGTCGTCGAAAGAACAAATTTCTGAGAAATAGGGGCTAAAATTTTCCCAATCTCGTATTGATTATCAGAACTATGGATCTGGAATGAATTTTTTGTTAAGAAGTGAGCTTTGGGCATTTGGCCGAGGTCTTTTTTGGTGATGATGATTTGCAATTTAGATTCTTTAACTTTTGGAGTGATCATCCAAAGTTTCAGGAACTCTTGCAAGATGTCTGGAACACACGAGTCACAGGGTATCCATTTTTCAGAGTTTGCCATAAGCTGAGACTACTGAAGAAAAAGGTTAAGGAGTTCAACAAAGAATTCTATTCAGATATTTCCCTACGAGCTAGACAGGCAGAAGAGGATTTGAAAAGTATTCAGCAGCAGGTGTTTAGAGACCCTTCTCCACAGTTGTTGGAAGAGGAAGCTAAAGCAGTTATGGAGTGTGTAATGTTTCAAAAAGCAGAAGAGGGATTTTTTAAACAGAAGGCTAGGGTTCAGGCTGTAACAGAAGGGGATCAAAACACAGCATTCTTTCATCAGTCATTAAGGGTAAGACAGCACAGGAATAATATTTCATTACTGCAGAAAGATGATGGTAGCACTGTTACTGATGTGGAGGAAATTGGTAGTGTAGCAGTGGAGTTCTATAAGAAATTGCTAGGTGAAAAAAATCAGGAAGTGCAGAGTTGTTCAGTAGAAGAGATGGGGAAAATACTAGTTCATAAAGTGGAGCCAGTGGATACAGAACAACTATGCAGCAGGGTCACTGAGGAGGAGATTAAGTCTGTTCTATTTGAAATGGGGAAAAATAAGTCCCCTGGCCCAGATGGATACACAGTGGAGTTCTATAAGGCTGCCTGGTCAGTAGTGGGAGAGGATGTTACAAATGCCATTAGTTCTTTCTTTCTTACAGGGTATCTCCCTAGGGAAATCAATTCCACTGTCTTAGCTCTTCTTCCTAAAGTTGCTGGTGCAGATCAGATGAAACAATTTCGTCCAATTTCTTGTTGCAATGTGCTTTATAAGTGCATTGCTAAGATATTGGCAAATAGATTATCAACAGTCCTTCCCAAGCTAATAAGTAAAAGCCAATCAGCATTTGTGAAAGGGAGGAGCATTAGTGATAACATACTGATGGCTTCTGAGTTAGTAGCAGGCTATAACAGAAAGAATATTTCCCCTAGATGCACAATGAAGATTGACCTAATGAAGGCCTTCGACTCTATAGATTGGGAGTTTTTGTTCACAGTAATGACTGCTATGGGGCTCCCTGCTCAGTTTATCTCCTGGATCAAGGTCTGTGTTTCTTCCCCGATGCTTAGTGTAGGGATAAATGGAGGGGTTTGTGGTTACTTTCCCTCTAAGAAAGGCCTGCGTCAAGGGGACCCCTTGTCCCCTTTTCTTTTCACTATTGCTATGGAGGTACTATCCTGCATACTGAATAAAGGAGCAGTCTCAGGAGAATTCCCTTATCACCCTAGATGCAAGAGGCTGGGAATTACCCATCTAGTGTTTGCTGACGACCTACTGCTGTTTTCTAATGGTTCAACTAAAGCTGTGGAGAGTGTAAAAGGTCTGCTTGACAAGTTCTATAGACTTTCTGGATTAAGGTTTAATCCAGAGAAAAGTCAATTATTCTGTGCAGGGATTGAGGAGACTGATCATGAACGACTTGCTCAGTTGGCTGGATTTCAAAAAGCAATGCTGCCTGTCCGCTACTTGGGAGTTCCTCTAATAGCAGGAAAGCTATCTACTAGTGATTGTCGAGCTTTGGTGGAGAAAATCACTAAGAGAATATCTGGTTGGAGGCCTAAGCTACTTAGCTATGCAGGTAAGCTTCAGCTTATCAATTCAGTGCTAAGTAGCCTGTCCTTTTACTGGATGAATGTGTTTGTTCTACCTTTGGCTGTTATAAAAGAGATTGAGCAGCTTTGTAATAAATTCCTCTGGGGTGTAACTGAAGATTCCTTGGAAAGAAGGCTGTTATGGCTTGGGGGTTGCTGGCTATTCCTAAGAAAGAAGGGGGACTTGGTGTTAGGTGTTTAAAGAATTGGAATGTGGCCTGTACTACAAGGCATATATGGGCTCTTTTAACCAAAGAAGGGTCCTGGTGGGTTGCCTGGAACTATCTTTATAGGATTAAGGACCTTACCTTCTGGGAATTAGGGAACTGCAGCACTGCCTCTTGGGTTTGGAAGAGACTATTGAAGGTCAGGGACAAGGTGGAAGGGTTCTTCAGATGCTGGGGGACACAGGTGTATTGGAATGACAAAAGGATGCTGTCTTACTCTGTGAAGCAGGTGTGGAATGATTTGCAACCGGTGAGGCCTAATGTGGAATGGTACCAACTGATCTGGGGGAGATATTCTATTCCAAAACATAGTTTTTTGAGCTGGGTTATAACTCGAAACAGAATTACTACTCTAGGACAGTTGCATAGCTGGGGAAAGGTGGCAAGTGCAGATTGCTTATTTTGTTTGGCTCATGTAGAAGACAGGGACCATCTATTTTTCAACTGCCAATACACATCTCAGGTGCTGAAGGGATGTCTACTCATGCTGCATTTACCTTGTCCTCAGTTAAGCGGTTATGATGCTTACTTGCAGTGGGCGGTTAGAACATTCAAGGGAAAGAAAGCTGTAGCCATGATAGGACGGTTGGTTTGGAACCTGGCAGTGAGTTTGATTTGGAGGGAACGCTGCAGTAGATTGTATGGTGGTTCTGCTGTACAATCAGGAGAGTTGATCAGGATGGTTCGAAGGACAATTGAAATGGCCAGACTTGGTAATGCAGCTCTGGATGTTGATTGTAGTGTAGTTTTCAGTTAGTAAACTTTGTGAGTAGTATAGTTCTTGGTTTATTGTATTGTAGTGTGGTAGAAAGTAGAAATTAGCAGTAGAGATAGATAGCTGCTGCCTGTAAAAGATCCAGATGTGTTCCCCTTTGATCTAAAAGGGGTCACATAGAGCTTAATAAAATTTTTGATATTGCCCATAAAAAAAAAAATTAGATTCAAATTGGATGGTGACAGTGGGATGCATCTCTTTTTTTATTTTTCTAGCTGTGGGCTGCATCACTTTGGTGGTTCAACATCGTCTAACAGATTTAACGTACAATTGGGTAATGTTTTGAAATTCCAACGATTCGGCTAAAATTTTGTAAAAAACTAAGAGGATAACAAAGTATACTTCCTGTTAAACCAATAATAATTATATAATAATTAATATTGTTTTATAATTATAATAGTTAATATTGTCAATTTTTTTCTTATAGTTATCATTAATATAGACATTGTTCGGAGTTGACCGTTTGACTCCGAGAACAAGTTTATCAATGTTCGTCTGGTCAAATGGAGATCTCTTGGTTGACTCGAATTTGAATTGAAAATTAGAGATAAGAAGTGTTTGTGGAAAGTGTTTGACTAAGTTTGACCATATTTAATATAAAGTTAACGAGAACCTTGTAGCATGATCAGTTATGAATAGGGCTTCGAGCTTTGAGGTCCCTCGACTAGTGATTATTACAGTTGTGATGAATTGACGACAGAGAGTGCCCCAAACATCGCAGAAAGTCTCTAAACATTCAGCGACGATATTATTAGCATTCTGGCACTTCACTGGGACTTTTGGTTCTTGGTGTAGGCGGCGTCTGCTGAAGCTTAGAGGGAAAGTGCAGCAGTATTTCACGGTTAGGGGCGATCAGGTACTCTGGCAAGGGGAAGTGATGTTGAAGTATTATTGTGTTAAAAAGGTCTGGAACTCCATACGACCTCGATTACCTAAACAATCATGGGCTTCATTGGTGTGGAAAGGACTTGGAATCCCACGTAGCAAGTTCTTCTTATGGCTGTTTGCGAAGGAGCGAATTCATACCGCATGTTAGAATGGCCTCATGGGGGCATACTGCTCCTTTGAATTGTGTGTTTTGTGATCAGGTTGCTGAGTCTATGGACCATCTATTTGTTGCTTGTATGTTTTATCACGATATATATCTACAGCTTTCAAGTCTTATGTTCCCTTGACAGTGGGTTTCAACTTGGAGGCAAGAGGTCGGTTGGGCGGAGAGGGTGTTTGTCAATTCTACTCCTCTCACTAATGCTGGTAGATTGATTTGGAGCTCTATTCTCAGCCATATGTGAAGAGAACGTTCTAGGCGTATATATGCATGAGAGAAGATGGATATTGCAGTGTTGGGTAAGGTGATTCGTAATGAGGTCAGGGTAAGGTGATTCGTAACGACATATAACAACTACTTATTTTGAGTGACAATTTATGTCACACCACAAAAATAATTTAAATATTACATGAGAAAAAAAATTAATCCATTTTAAACAATACAAGTAAAGTAACTATGTTAATCCCACCTAATAAGTTGTTTCCTAATGGGCTTCATTCCGTTACCTCCACCTTCTTGCGCCTTGCTCCCTTCGCCGCGCAGATCATATATCAATTGTTATATCTTCAGATCTCATATATCATCAGTCCGCCGATGGAGGCGGATTACTCCGGCTGCCTATGGTAACCTTTTTTGCCGTTTGCAAATCTTGGAGATCCATTGCTCTCTGACCACGGCGGCTCTCTTCCGGGTCTCCCAGGCCTCCTCATGGGACTCCGTTGACCATGAGTTTTCTCCCGTCACAATGTTCCACACGTTTGTCACTACTCCGATTAACGACATATTTCCTGATAAAATATTCTCCTGTTCACAACCTCCTCCCTAGTACTCCTCAAAGTCCCAATTTCTAGAGTTCCAATTTCAAAATTGAATCACCAGTCTCTAGACTTGGACTAGAGACAAAAAGACCATTTATATTCGTATCTTACAATTCCTCCCTCGAAATATCTATGCCAACAAAAAAAATAGAACCCAACGACATAAATCAGAGTCTGATAATGCAATAACATGCACAAAGTAGGTGTCAAACATTGCCCCTATTGAACTTTACCCAAACCGCTGTTGAGAAAGAACACGATAACAGAATCAGAATCTAAAGCTGGGAATTGAACTGTTTAGGGTTTGTTTTAGAAATGAAAAATACGGTGAAAAAGACACTACTTGAATTGATAATGAGAGTGGCTATTATGTCGTCTGGATGAATGCGTTTAAATTAGGATGCAAAGAGAAGAAAAGGAATGAAAAAGACAAACTGAAAGATGAAATAACAGCCTAGGATTTCAAATCCTCACTTGATCCCAGTTTGACCGTCGGACGAGAGCGCCACAAGTTAGAGGAAGAAGATTATTCAAGTTCTTGATGCTCACCGTTTTGGTGAAGCACATCGTTTTATTATTACCACTCAAAGATATGTCATTTTTGCCTTTCATCGGCTGTTTGTTTACTTTTCTGCCAAGTTACAATTGTTTCCTTTTCATACAAACAAACAACATGTAGCTGGAACTGATTTTCTTCTTCTGTAATGGGTTCACTATAATAACCAACCTTGTTCTCGATCCAAAAGTGTGAACACCTTGTTCAACTCGCTTTGGCCGGGTCGATCTAAGTAACAAATGCACACTCTAAGCGAACTGTTAACCACAGTAACGGATAAAGCTCGATCTCGATAGAAAACTCGTCAATATCATGATAAAGTCGACCTAGCTGAAATAGGATGGACACTTATGGGTATGGGTTCCATTCTCATGTTAAAAAAAAAGAAATAAGAAAACACCAAAGTAAATGAAACTCTGTCCCGATACAAAACTCGTCAACACAGACTAAATGTGGTATAGATTTTAGATAGCGGCTTTTGGAAATGCTGGAGGGATGCAACTTAGGCCCACTTGCACATGGAGGAGTTTGGGGGACACTAATGAATAGTAACTCTAATGTCCAATTTTAGGCTTTTTATATATTAATTAATGTTTCAAAAGTGGGTTGTAAATTGGTGGGCGAATGCGAGGGTTGTACATACGAAATTTGGTATAGATATTCGGTAGTGGTTGTGGCAAACGGTGGAATGGGACAACTTAGGTTTCCACCGACAGTGTTTCGATATAGTTGTGAATTTGTAGGTGAATGCAATGATTTGGCCAAAATGCCATAGATGATGGACAATCGATGTAGACTCAACGGACAGTAGTCAAACATAGAGGATGTAAAATGTAAGAGTTGGCTGCAAAGAATATAATTGGGAGCGATTTGAGTACATGGACATTATATTAGGAAAACGTATTGGATAAAAAGTTAAAACAAATGGTATGAAATGAGAGAGTGGGGTAATAAGACATTCTCCAAATTTTGGAGATGTAGGAGAAGGATATGTGAGTGAAGAAAAACAAACAAATAAAGGTTGTCCACTTGTACTTGAAGGAGTTTGGGGGGACACTAATAAATAGTAATTCTAATGTTAGGCTTTTATATCTTAATTAATTCTCGACCAAAGGTAGACAAAAACACAAAAATAGATAAAACTCACTCCCAATCAAAAACTCTCGACGTCTAGTTCAACTCGCTTTGATTTGGTCAAACCATATTTTTCAAGAATTTACACTCGACCAAATTCGAATTGGAAAGGGAAATCTTTATTTCTCACAACGAAACTGAAAAAGAAAGACAAAAGTAAAAGCCTGATCCACGTCATCGCCATAATCATCTGTCATCTTGATTCTCGTCATCCTCGCCGTCGATGAATAACGCTTGGAATTTGTTGGCTAGTTGTCCAGTACTGACTTTGTTATTACCTTCACGTTGCTGATTGTATTTTCTGTAACCGGTCTTTGACTTTGCCATGCAAACGCCCGGCCCTGTCTGCCTTTGCTGAAAAGGAAACATCCTTTCTTGCCCTTCTTTATGCTCATGGATATTCCTACATCTCAAGTAAATGGAGAATGAATGAAGAAACAAACACTATATTTATAATTAATCAGAAGAATATATATATGTTTGTAAATCAAATGATTACCAGGGCATGGGGAGGAACCAGAAAGTACGGGTATTATCACTATTAGAATCGGTTGCAAACCTTTGGACCGTCTGATCCACGAGATTGAAGACGCCAAAATCATCAGAGAAAATAGAGTCTCCTCCAAAGGCGAAGTAGATGCAGTTGCCTTTAACTCTGTTATTGAGTAGTGGGTCAGCGGGAAGACAAAACGACTGGTGGGATCCCACAAACACAGCATAGCCATCCAAGTTGGTCACTTTTGCCCAGTAATAATTAACGGTGTTGTTATTCTCCCCGCCTCCCGGTCCCGGTACAAGCTTGCACACCTCGAATTCGTGCTTGGATTCGGATTTAGCATGCCTGTAGCCAGTACGATGGTGCAGGATGACGAGGAGCTGACCTTGGAAGTCGGCCAAGTGATAATGGCATCTGTAATTACCACCGTGCATATAAAACATAGAACTGGACCTCGCCTCCGCGAGTTGTTGGCGCGACATGGCGGAAGAGAGTGGGAACACTCTGACGGTAGGAGTACACGTAATCAGGCCATCCACCACGTGCACGTGCTCGCCATCCACCACGTGTAGCTTCCCTCCAAAGTAGTCCATGTCAACCTCCAGCGGGGAGTTGAAAGTGAGCTGATCATCATCATCACGGGCTGTGAATTTCCAACCGTCATTGGAATGCACGTTGCACCATGCTAATCGGGGCGTGGAGTCGAAGAGAATGAAGACGTGGCAGTCGTCGTCGTCGTCAGGGGAAGATGAGATGATGGCTTTGCGGACGTGGACATTGAAAGGGAGAGGAGGAAGATGGAAGGAGGATTCGGTGATTGGGTTGAGGAGGTAGAAGCTGATCGTTGGATAGGTGGAAGGGGGCATGATGAGGATCCACCCGTCTTTGGACGCCACGTAGTATTGTTTCTGGATGACGGCCCCATCGTAACGGCTGATGTGTGACGATCGAGTTACGAACTGAGGAAGCGTGACGGAGGGGAGCCTTCTTCTTCTTCTTCCTTCGCTTTCGCTTTGTTGTTGATCATTACGATGGCTTAGCATGGTTAGCGGAAGGAACTCATGTGGTGGCCTCCAGATGCGAGAGGAGGCGGACTGAAACCCGGAAGCATCGGCGGCGGTTGCTTTCGTGGTTAGGACGAGTAGGCCGGGAAGGCATAATAGGTGGCGGCGATTGAGAGCGGCGGATCGCCATGATTTGCAGACGTGGGAGAAGGCGAGGAGCTGGGAAAAGGTGTGCAAGTGGTGACTTGCTATCTTCTCTACTATGTCATCCGGCAGTTGGGTGTAATCCATTGATGGCAGCAGCCGGTGCTGGAGCTAGGTTTTTTCTGCGCCACGCACGACAACTAAAATAATTAGGGTTATTATATGTAATGTAGCTAGGGTTAACTATACAATAAAATAATGATTTCCCCAATCGAAAGGGAAAGTTGTTGCAGCCGGCTACACAGCTCCTCCTAGCTAGGGTTCACCAAGGCCTCAAATCAGAGACTAGTCGCTAATAATAAATCAAAGAATGTAGTTAGGCAGGGATCGGAGACCCTAGCTAGTTAATTAATCAATTAGGTGAAAGGGAAGTTATGAATTAGATGCTCAAGCCCGAAGGGTCCAAGCACAAATCCGTTCCAGAGCCAGCCGATACTCTCGGTGCCTCTGTCGCTTGTTGCGTGGAAACCAAGTTTCCTTTGTTGAGTGGGAAAAGAAAGACAGACAAGGGCCAATTGGTATATGAAACCAATCAAACAATCTCGAACCCGTGGAAGAGGCCAATCGATATAGTCGATGCTTGTAACAACTAGACGCGTTCTCTAGTTGATAAGAGACCACTCAATTCTCCCGAATCCTCAAAGGAGAGATTAAACAAAAACGTTCACAATTGAACTCACACAAACTCACTTGTAATTAATTGCTAAAACCTTGAATGAAAAATACATTGGTTGAACTCCTATTTATAGACCCACGAATCCATACTTAAAACAAATAAGGAAAAACAAATCCTACTTGAAAAAGGAAAACAAAAACCTTAACAAACAAGGAAAAGACTTAGTCAAATTTCCTCCTAGAATCTAGCCTTGAATTGTGCCTTCCTCCTTGTGTTCACACCTTGATGGTTATCCACTTATGATTCCATTCACACCTTATGTTCACACCATGAAGAATTCCTTCCTTCTAGGCCAAATTCTTCACTCCTTTTTCCAAGCCCATCTTCTCTTGATTCTGGTCCACAAATTGTAGTAATGTGATGGGCTTTCCTCGATGCAATTCCATATCCATCAAAAATGATCCCATTTGATCCTTGTATCGTTGTATTCGAGCCTTCATCTTTGGACCACGAGAATTATATGTTCTTCCAATCGATTTCAGATCAACAAACTCGTAGGCTTTACTTGCAGAGCCATTTTCACCCATCTTGAATGCTCCCAAGATCTCTTTGAACCTCTTAATTTTTCTCTTGGCCCATGGTCTATGTGAAGATATATCTTGAACTCGAATGTGCACATACGGGGTGAGCAGGGTCGCATCAGGGATTACATCAGAGTCACATGCTTTGGTGGCGGATAATTCTGGAAGTCGTGGAAGAAGCAGAAATCGAAATTCCAACTTCAAGAACTCTCAGAATCGAAGTAACAGCCGAGGGAGATCAAAATCAGTGTCAAGACCAAGAGCAGAAATCACATGTTATCATTCCAACCAGCCTGAACACATGAGGAGAGAGTGCAGAATCTTGAAACGGGAACAAGCTAGAGGAAAAGGTGTGGAAAACCGAGAAAAAGATGAAACTACTATTGCTGCCTCAGATGGTGATGTGGTCATTGTTTGTGATGCCGGTTTTGTTAACCTTGGTTGTCAAGAGAGTACATGGGTTGTTGACTCGGGTGCCTCATTCCATGTGACCTCACGGGTTGATTTTTTCTCTTCCTACACAAACGGTAACTATGGTTGTGTGAGGATGGGAAATGATGGTGCATCAAAGATTGTTGGCATGTGTGATATTCACCTAGAGTCAAACATGGGTTGCAAGCTAGCTAGTCTTGAAGGATGTGAGACATGTTCCTGACATGAGGCTGAATTTGATTTCCACGGGAAAACTTGATGATGATGGCTATACCAACTATTTTGGAGAAGGAAAATGGAAGCTCTCAAGAGGTTCTCTTGTGGTGGCAAAAGGCAACAAGGAAAGTACGCTCTACATGACGAATGCAAAGCATAGCAAGGGAGGAATCAATGTTGCTGAGAAAGATTCTTCCATTGAGTTCTAGCATAAGAGAATCGGTCATTTGAGCGAGAAGGGGCTGCAAATATTATCCAAGAAACAACTCTTGCCCGGAGCTAAAGGTACTCTTCTTAAAACTCGTGTTCATTGCTTAGCCGGAAAAACTCATAGAGTTGCATTTCATAAATTTCCACCTTCTAGAAGGAGTAAGGTACTTGACTCGCCTTTACCGTCACACTAGAAAATGGCCAAGTGTAACCACTCACTAGAGCGTAGTATAGCGGGTTTGGGTTTTAATGTCAACCCGGGTCCTAGGTATGCTGACTACTCCGTGAATTCTTATTATTTAGCAATGAAAATGTATTGAAGGTGAAGGTCTTAGCAAACAAACAAACAAAGCAGTAAACGGTTGTTTTCAAGTTGAGAGAGGACACCCGGATATGGTTCCCCCTAGACTGCAGTTAAACCGAATTGTAATTCACCAAGTTCAAATTCAAAGATAGTTATACTGCGGGAGGTTCTTAAACAGTCTGCAGTCTCGACTAAAGGTCTCCAGACCCTTCAATCTGAATCTCCAGCAGGCGACTAACCTCCACTGGAGTAAACAGATTGAGGCCCTAACGAACAAAACCTGCTCTACTGGAGTAAATCCAGTACATAATAGTGAATTGACTCCTCGACTAAAGTCTTCAATTCACTACCTTCAATCAAGGGTACTCTATCAACCTAGGCAGATATTATCTTTCTAGGTCAAAGCAGAAACGACAGGAATGTGATCAGGATTCATGCCATTCATCAATTCAAACCTCAATTGGATATAATCAAACCAATGAATTCATACTCGGGTTCACACAATCAGACCTAACATACAAATCTAGGGTTCTCCATACCCAGATGAATGAGGAAGTTACTCCATGGAGAGAGAAGCAAAAGCTAGCTCAGATGTAGAAATCATGTTGTGAATGATGGGTTTCTGCTCCTGGTCGTCAATCAGCACTTCTCCAAGTGTTAGCCGAGCTCCAATGGTGATGAAGATCAATCTATGTCACTTGGGAACTCTGGTTTGTCGCTTTCTCTCTCCAGGTATCACTTTCTTTCTCTAAAACTCGGCCGGGGATTTTAAAACGCAGCGCAGTGGTAGGGGGTTAATCCCCGATCGAGGTCAAGAATACCCGATCGGGGATTAAAGCTCTCCGGCCGGGACCCTTCCTGGGAAATCAGCTTTCCCCGGCCGCTCCTTGCATTTTACCCGGCCGGGTATTTTCACTCTTGGCCGGGTATTTTGCTCCTCTAGCTCCCTTTTACCCCAACGGTCCCCTTTTTGCCTGAAACTCGTTTCCTCACCTCCATGTCAACGCCAAGCCCTGAAATGTGACATAAACACACAACCTAGCGTGAAATCGGTTTAAAACACGAGAATCAACATCTCAAACGGCTCAAGAATGGAGGTAAAAATATGTGTAATTATTGGTCTATCAGTACTTGATCTAATTCATACTGATGTTTGTTTTATGCGAGATAAAACTCTTGGTTGTGCAAGCTATTATGTTACTTTCATCAATGATCACTCAAGGAAGGTGTGGACATATGCTTTGAAAACGAAGGATCAAGTGCTAGATGTTTTCAAGCAATTTCATGCTGAAGTGGAAAGGGAAACCGGGCTCAAGTTGAAGTGTGTAAGGGCTGATAACGGGGGAGAGTATAGAGGTCCATTCGAAAGCTACTGCAGATTGCACGGAATTAAACTGCAGAAAAGTGTACCCAAGACTCCACAACAAAACGGTGTCGCCGAGAGGATGAACAGAACAATTTGTGAGAGAATCAAGTGTATGCTCTCACATGCCAAGCTACCTAAATCATTTTGGGGAGAACCAATGCCGACATCGGTTGATCTAATCAACCTTTCGCCATCGGTCCCTTTGGAGGGTGACGTGCCTCAACGAGTATGGACGGTAAAGGAAGTCTCATATGAACACTTGCGAGTGTTTGGTTGCAAAGCCTATGTTCATGTTCCAAAAGATGAGAGAGCAAAGCTTGATGACAAAGCAAAGCCATGTATATTCATGGGCTATGGGCGTGAAGAGTTCGGGTACAGATTATGGGATCC